AGAAAATAAGACCCAGAATATCTTATTGCTCTTGTATAAAACTATGGTACGCCCACATCTTGAATACTGTGTACAGATGTGGTCTCCTCACCTCAAAAAAAATATTTTGGCCTTGGAAAGGGTTCAGAAAAGGGCAACTAAAATGATTAGGGGTTTGGAACGGGTCCCATATGAGGAGAGGTTAAAGCGACTGGGACTTTTCAGTTTAGAAAAGAGGAGACTGAGGGGGGATATGATAGAGGTCTATAAAATCATGAGTGGTGTGGAGAGGGCCGATAAAAAAAAGTTATTTATTGGTTCCCTAAATAGAAGAACTAGAGGACACCAAATGAAATTAATGGGGAGCAGGTTTAAAACTAATAAAAGAAAGTTCTTCTTCACACAGCGTGTAGTCAACCTGTGGAACTCCTTGCCAGAGGAGGCGATGAAGGCTAGGACTATAACAGAGTTTAAAGAGAAGCTAGATAATTTCATGGAGGTTAGGTCCATAAAAGGCTATTAGCCAGGGGATAAAATGGTGTCCTTGGCCTCTCTTTGTCAGAGGCTGGAGAGGGATGGCAGGAGACAAATCGCTTGATCATTGTCTTCGGTCCACCCCCTCCGGGGCACCTGGGTCTGGCCACTGTCGGCAAACAGGCAGGCTAGATGGACCTTTGGTCTGACCCAGTACGGCCGTTCACATGCCGCGCGCTAGCAGTGCGTTTAAACAGCAGGATTTGAAAGGGCTTGCAGCTCCCAGCTCCGGCTAACTTGATGCCTGGGAGCCTCAGGCAAGGGGTGAGGCCTTTCAACTCCTGCTGTTAAAAGCCTCTGCCCTGTCCACCCGAGGCCCCGCCCCTCTCATCCAAGGCCCCGCCCCTTCCAGGGCAGCCCGTGACCACTTGAAAAAAATGTTTGAAGTGGCCCCTGCTGAAAAATTATTGCCCCCCGAATTAGATCAATTATTCAAACCCATTTACTACTACTACAAAAAGGAGTTTGAAGAACAGCTAGCCAAAAACTCAAAAAGTAATAGCAAAATGTTTTTTAAGTACATCAGAAGCAGGAAGCTGGCTAAGCAAGCAGTGGGGCCCTTGGACGATCGAGATGCTAAAGGAGCACTCAAAGATGATAAAGTCATTGCAAAGAAGCTAACGGAATTCTTTGCTTCACTCTTCACGGCTGAGGATATTGGGGAGATTCCCAAACCTGAACCACTCTTTACAGGTGACAAATCTGAGGACTTGTCCCAGATTGAGGTGTCATTAGAGGAGGTTTTGGAACAAATAGAAAAACTTAATGTTAACAAATCTCCGGGACCAGATGGCATTCATCCAAGGGTTCTAAAAGAACTCAAATGGGAAATGACTGGAAGATAGCTAACAGATGTCAATATTTAAAAAGGGCACCAGAGGTGATCCTGGCAATTACAGATCGGAAAGTCTAACATCAGTGCCGGGCAAATTAGTTGAAACTGTAGTAAAGAATAAAATTATCAGACACATAGATTAACAAAATTTGTTGAGGGAAGTCAACATGGTTTCTGTAAAGGGAAATCCTGTCTTACTAATCTGTTAGAGTTCTTTGAAGGGGTTAACAAACATGCGGACAAGGGGGATCCAGTAGATATAGTATACTTAGATTTTCAGAAAGCCTTTGACAAGGTCCCTCACCAAAGGCTCTTGTGTAAATTACATGGCCATGGGATAAGAGGGAAGGTCCTTTCTTGGATTGAGAACTGGTTAAAAGACAGGAAACAAAGGGTAGGAATAAATGGTAAATTTTCAGATTGGAGAGGGGTAACTAGTGGTGTACCCCAAGCGTCAGTCCTGGGACCAATCCTTTTCAACTTATTCATAAATGATCTGGAGAAAGGGGTAAGCAGTGAGGTAGTAAAGTTTGCAGATGATACCAAACTGTTTAGGATAGTCAAGACAGAAGCAGACTGTGAGGGACTCCAAGAAGATCTCACCAAACTGAGTGATTGGGCAACAAAATGGCAAATGAAATTTAATGTGGATAAGTGTAAAGTAATGCACATCGGGAAAAATAACCCCAACTATACGGTAGACAGTTCTCCGAAAACATCTACTCAGTGTGCAGTGGCAGTCAAAAATGCAAATAGAACGTTAGGAGTCATTAAAAAAGGGATAGAGAATAAGACAGAAAATATCTTAATGCCTCTGTTTAAAACCATGGTATGCCCACATCTTGAATACTGTGTACAGATGTGGTCTCCTCACCTCAAAAAAGATATTTTGGCCTTGGAAAGGGTTCAGAAAAGGGCAACTAAAATGATTAGGGGTTTGGAACGGGTCCCATATGAGGAGAGGTTAAAGCGACTGGGACTTTTCAGTTTAGAAAAGAGGAGACTGAGGGGGGATATGATAGAGGTCTATAAAATCATGAGTGGTGTGGAGAGGGCTGATAAAGAAAAGTTATTTATTAGTTCCCATAATAGAAGAACTAGAGGACACCAAATGAAATTAATGGGTAGCAGGTTTAAAACTAATAAAAGAAAGTTCTTCTTCACACAGCGTGTAGTCAACCTGTGGAACTCCTTGCCAGAGTAGGCATACAGGCCTGGCTTTGTTTACCATGATCAGCTTAACAATTTTTTTTATTTAGGTAGTACTAATCACCTGTAACTCAAAACAGAAATGTGAGACCAACTGCCTCACGCTACAAAACTACCAATAATAAAAACTTGAGTTTTACTATTATTGTCCATTGGTTTTTCCTAGGTGGATGGGACCCTCAGATAACCGGAATTTTTAGATAACCAGACTGCTCTAAATCTCCGAGCGTGCCAGATAACACAGGTTTTACTGTATTCCCAGAACAGAAGAAGTAGGAGGTCACCAAATGAAATTAATAGGCAGTAAGTTTAAAACAAACAAAAGGAAGTTTTTCTTCACTCAGTGCACAGTCAACCTGTGGAAATCCTTGCCAGAGGATGTGGTGAAGGCTAGGACTTTAACAGGGTTCAGAGAAGAGCTAGATAGATTCATGGAGGTTAGGTCTATCAATGTCTATTAGCCAGGATGGGTACGAATGGTGTTTGTCTGGAGGTGGGTAACAGGGATCATGTGAGGATTATCTGTTCTTTTCCCTCCCTTTGGGCATCTGGTATTGGCCACTGTCATCAGACAAGATACTGGGCTGGATGGACCATTGGTCTGACCCAGTATGGTCATTCTTATGTTGATCCTGCAGTATTTTCTAAGGCTTATAAATCTCAATACTATATTGAATACACCTGTTAAGGGTCTATTACTAACACTCTTAATTCCAGCCAGAAACAGTATCCTTATACATGAGAAAACATTCGAATCCCACAGAAAATGGTCCTTGTGTGACTGATTTCAAGAGGTTTTACATTAGCACAAACAGCACTAGATGTTCACCATAACATTCTACTAGCATCCCTCCAATATAGAGTTTCAAATCAATGCAAATACTTCAACTTCCAAGGTTAAAACTGTAGGGAGAGATCTTTAAATGATGACCTGAAAAGGAAAGGCAATTGGGTTTTATTTCACCTCATTTGTGTGTGCTATAAAGGCAAGACGAAGGCTCGAGGAGTTATCCTGCTACCTTAAATATCCAGTCCGGACTTTTCTGGTTTTGCTGAAGAGCACTAGGAGGCACGAGAAGACGCAGGGAATACTGAACCTGCAACAAAGATGTCTCAAATATACCCCGGAGTTTAAGATGCTGACTGGGTGCTCAGGGGCCCTGTGACAGTAAGCTTTGACAGACATTGGACATGTTTCCCAACTGCAGAACAAGGCTAATTCTTCCCTCTTCAGGATACATCTGAGGTAGTCTTATTGCAGTGAGGGGGCCCTGCTGGTTCTCCCAGCGCAGACAAGACCTTATTTTTGTGAGAAATGCGGGAGAAGCTGCGTGGACAATAGAGTGCTCCCTGACAGTTACTGCTCTACAGTAAGTCACTTCTTATGGCCAGGACAGGCCAAAGAAGCATGCATTGCACAGTTGAAGGTTAGTTTCATCTGAGCAGTGAACAGTTTGGCTATGTCTAGACTACATCCCTTTTTCGAAAGAGGGATGTAAATTAGATTGAAATTGCAAATGAAGCCAGGATTTGAATTTCCCCCGCTTCATTTGCATAATCGCATCACGGCATTTTCGAAAAACGCTATTTCGAAAGTGAAACCGTGGTCTAGACACGGTTCTTTAAAAAAGAAAAGCCTTTTTTGAAAGCCTGTAAACCTCATTTTTTGAGGAGTACAGGATCTTTCGAAAAAGGCTTTTCTTTTTGAAAGAACCGCATGTAGACTGCGGTTTCACTTTCGAAATAGTGTTTTTTGAAAGAACGTGAGATGCGATTATGCAAACGAAGCATGGGAAATTCAAATCCCGGCTTCATTTGCAATTTCGAGCTGTCTAATTTACATCCCTCTTTCAAAAGAGGGATGTAGTTTAGACATGCCCTTTGATTCAGACACGCGATGACAAACAGAAAAGGCCACACATGCTAAATGCTGAGCAGTTACTGTTCCATGTTTAATGGGGCAGCTGACATGGCTCTAGACTATTTAATATTTGTTTCAAGTATTACTGATATTGCTGGACAGTTACAGGAATCATAATAAATTGATTATTTCAAGTTTAATATGTTACCATATTATTTTTCTTGGGGAAAATATGTAGAGGTCATTCTCTAGAAGAGCATTAACTTCATTCCTTCTACTTGGAAAGGTAAGAGAAACAACATACCCCATCAGATTTACTTTCCATCTTACTTTATTCACGTTTTTCTAGAAAACTCCTCCATAATTCCACAAATTTAACAAAAAGTTTAAAATTCAGGACAGAAACAATCCTGTAACTTATTACAAACATTATTCTTCTCTCTTTTAATCTTGGGGGCCAGATGAATTTCTTATAGTTGCGTGAAGACTTCATTTCCCAGTACAACCTTTCATATCCTCAAATGACAAGGTATTTAATACCTCGAGTTTCAAGGCAAATACAATTAAAAAAAAATCTAGAAGCTGAAGTACTTATACACTTTTAGGAGTGCAAACTCATCTCTTTAGTTCTTGATGGCTATTTCATGCCTCATGAAAGCAATACCCATCTGATTTCAATTTATCTTTAAAAGTAATAACCATTACAAGGTGCACAATGGTTGTGTCTAGTTTTGACCCTTCAAAATGTCAACTAGCAAGTGCCAGGCACCTGAAATGATAAAGGAAGCTTCTTTTGAGTACATCAACTGTGCTATAGTACATGTCAAGCCATTAGTGGCTGCTGGACAACATTATATTTGAAATTTACTGAACCAACAATGACACAGGTCTCTGCATGCAGAGAATATGATGGGACAAGTTCCACAAGGGGAAGTTTACATGTTTTACCATCAAAATAAGTTAAAGGTCTCTGACAAGAACCGGTCCTAGATTGTTGCATCATCGCTCCTTACTAGTTCTGATGCTCCCACCTTGGGGAGCAGTCGAAGAACTTGTGAGGAAACCATTGCACTTCCGTGTGTTCAGGCACATCACAGCCCGTCTTACATGACTGTTGTGGCCACTGTTCTTCCTAACCGGCACTGCGACCTGCTCGCAACATTTGTCCATTTCTACAGTAAATGCCAGTAGTCCAAGCCTCCAGGCTTAATACAGATCAGACCAAGACAACTGGACAGTGTTCCTGCCCCCCTCTTTTGCCCTTTCATACAAAGACCAAGGACAAAGGAAAAGCTGTGTCTTGCTCTCACATCCATGTTACTCAGAAGCCTTCAGATGAATCATTACTTGTATATGCCCTTAGTAGCAAGCTGAAGGACATTTAGAGTAAACTACTGTTTTGTCAATTTTCCTTGGAAAAATCATTATGGCTAAAACAGTCAGACAATTGCATTTGCTTTGACAATGCAAGTAACTATGCATCGTCGTACAGATTTGTAGTGGTACTATCAGTAGCAGTATCAAAATCTCCTTTCTATTTTACAACTATCCATCCATGCTCTCAAGAGTGACACAAGAACAAACACTTTATCCACAAATACTTGTACATGGCATGTTCAGAATGCCAGTCAGCCTACTAGAGAATCTACAAGTGGAACTTTTCTTATATGTAACTAAAAGGGGACACAAAGGTTGGGAGGGCCACGATTTAAGCAATTTTTCCTTGTTTGCAGAGGCATTCCTCATGTGGTCCCCAATCCTACCACTACCACCCCAAAAAACCTAATGATTTGGTAAAATACCGGCAAAAGTCCTTGTGAGAAACAAAGTACAGCAGGTGCACACAAAGGAACACTATTGTTGGGGGAACATTTCCATTTCAGCTTTCCAAGATTATTATAAACAGTCTAAAAAATTCATATGTAAAATACCTTTTATAAAAAGAAGATTCCCCATGAAATAGTAATACTTGTTACATTTCACAAGTAAAGTAAAAATCGGGCACAAGACAGGACGGTGGCCACAGGGGGAGCCCTAGGCACTGCCACATGGCACAGCTCAGTTCAGGGACAAGCTCCTTGGCCCAGCTAGGCGCATCCTGATGAAGGTTCTGTTCTTAATACAATGGGGAAGTGCGTGCGTGCCCCTCTCTGGTCCTTTGTGCTATAGGTCTGGAAGCTATGTCATCCCAAGGCCAATACAGTGAAGTTGATTAAGAAGTGGGATTTGGGAGCAGGGAAGGGAGTTGATCAAGGGAGAAGAGAGTCTTGGGGACTTTTCATACAAACAGCTCAGTTCACACCGTTGCAGTTACAGTTTCAGGGAGGTGAAGGCCTCACTCACCATAGGACCCTTGAGTCTCTGGAGCGAGGCTGTTTGGGGCTTTGAATACCTCCATCCACATCCATACGCCCAACAAGTTTTGGAGTGGGGCTGGCTAGCATGCAACGGTATGGAATCCACTCTCTCCATCCAACATAGTCTGATCAAACACTGCTCTTCTATCCCCACTCAGCCCTGAGCAGCACAAGGGATCTGCAGAACATTAACAAGCTACGTCCCTGGGAACTTGCATATTGCGGTGTGATTTCCAGATGCAGAGCTTGAGACCAGTACTACAGCTTCATGCTTTCCTGGTACTCCTCTTAACCTTGCCATACCACATTCTTGTAACACAGTTTCTATCCAGGCTTGTAATTGTCCGTCAGAAAAAAGCCAGGTAAGATCTCCATCAGGTACCGGGATAGACCTGGCACGAGCGTGACGTTTCTATAAAGACATGTGACAGATGGTACAGACAGACAAAATTAACAGGAATAGGATCAACATGACCCAACTCAAACAAGCTTATCATTATATTGCCACTTAAATCTCTTAGTTGCAACATTTCCATGATAAAGAAAGGGAACATCAAAACCAAGGGACTACGACAATTTCATGTTGAAAAGTGGGACAGCACATGGGGGAAGTCTTAGAATGATCTTTTTTTTTTTTATACCTCATCCAGCTCCCCGTGGCACTGATTAAGAAGTTCTGTTTGTCTGTGTAGGTTATTCTGAGCTTTGCTTTCCTCATAGTTCTTTGCCAACAGCCCATTTACAACTGGCAAAAGCTTCAACTTGACTGGAAAAGTGAAAGTTATTTCTTTAAAAATACTGACTTTAGGCAAGAAGAGTTTAATGTATTTCTGAAGACATGACAGGTATTTCCCCCACCTCCATCTGGAAGTCAATGCTAGTTTAACTAGAATTAGTGTTTGCGATTTCGAACAGGTGAGAGAAAAACCTGACTTCACTCGCTTCAAGCCTTTGTTTTCTAGGGGTGTCCCAAGATAAAATACTCCCTTGTTTTGGTTTTCCCAGAGTATAGCCACTATTATAGGGGCTACTGTAGGAAAATTTCATCCTTGAGAACGCAGAACAAGAACCAATGACATATTTTGGCAAAGTTATTCAAACACTGAAGAATGAAAGTGAGACAGGTAAGTCCCTTCCAGAGCACAAAATGCTTTGAAGATCGCTGTTCAGCTTTCATACACTAAAAATTGTTCACAAGAGGCATTTTAACAAACAAACAAGTCAAATCTTATTAACCCCACCCTCCTTTAAAAAAACATAACAGAAAAATCACACCCTTAAAATCTTAAGACCAGCTAGGCCCTTCTTATACATACAGTACATACATATATATATATAATATATATATATAAAATATACAGCTTACAGTTTTGTAGTCCTATTACAGTTAAAGCAGACTGAAAGGAGTGAGACTTTGTTTAGGGGCTTGGATCAACAAGAAGTCTCAAAACCACAGCGGGAGACAGCAGATTCTGGAGGCCTCTTCAAAGAGCACAAACTGTCTCTCTGAGAAGCTGAAACACAGAAAAAGGTCCTGCACGCTGCATATTGAGCAATGCCTTCCAGGGATCAGATTGCAGTCACCATGCTGTATCAAACCGCTCTAGAATTTGCAAATGATCAAAAGTGGTAACTACCCACTTCCTCTGCAACAGACCAACAGGACCCATTGGGAAGCATTCTCTGTTGCCAGTCACATGGCTAGCTTTGTAAAAGCCAATCTTGCTTACACCACACAAACAATTCTTCACAGAGCTGGGTGCAATCCGACTCTCTTGAGTCACTCTGCAGGTAAGTTGGCCCCTGGATTTAGCCAAGAAAGCATTGTCCACATTTCTTCGGCTCTCAGAGACAGCTGCAAACGTATTCTTAAAGACACAATTTCTTGAAATAAAACAGAAAAAGGTCACACTTTTGTGTAGCTGGGAGTAGCACATCTTTTGCTCTACTCAGTACCTGTGCCCAAGCGTGTTTACGAAGCTAGGGAGGACAGACTCAGCAATGCGGGTGCTTGTTTGAAAAAAGTGCAGCAGGTTGTGCATCACAGAGCATGGCTGTTCTCTAAGGCAGTGCTTCGGGTGAATTGAGAGTAAGAAGGCCGAGTTCCACGGGTTTGTTTCCTGGTACCAAGAGATGGGATTTCTGGTTTCAAAAGCAGCCCGCTTCCGAGGCTAAGCGTCATGTTGCCACTGCTTCCAAATAACTCTGCAGCTTGCGGACGGTTGTTTCATCCAAGGAGAAAAGGTCAAAGTCAAAGGTTGTGTTGGTAACATTAAAATGCCCAGTTTCCTCAATGAGATTTACAATCTGAGGAGAAAGGAGCAAGGATGTGAGGAGCTCAAATTCAGCCATACCAGTACACAGGCAGGGAGGAAAGGTTTGCCCGTCACAAGGGGGCTTTAAAAGCAATCTTCTGACAGGGATAGGTGCCCAGCCATGTCATGCCTCATTTCTCCTATAAGTCTTGGCTGGCTCAGTCCGAATGAAGGCACTGGCAGGCCTTTTCTTTTTAAATCACTCAGGCATTTTAATGCTCTTGAGGATCCAGCGAGCCCAAGCTGGGTTTGGCTTGGACAAGATGGGGGGGTAAGAAAGATCCTGCGCACCATACTTCAACCCCTTTTAATACAAGCAACTGATGTGCATCTGGATTCTCACTATGCTTGTTTGGTTTATTAAAGAGTGACCATTCACTTGTGGTAAGCTATACACTGCAAGTGAAATGACAGGTGCCACGTAAAACACCATGCCAATGTATCTGATGAAGTGGGTTTCACCCACGGAAGCTTGTGCCCTAATAAATCTGCCAGTCTCTAAGGTGCACAGGACTCCTCATTCTTTTTGCAAATACAGACTAACCTAGCTACCCTTCTGAGGCTTAGACCAGTGATGCAGGAAGACTCCCTAAGCTATGAGGATCTAGGTGGTGACTTATCACAAAAAAGACATGCTCTCTACCTGCTGTAGCACATTGCGCTCCCGTAACGCCATCAGCCGTCTGTGAAGTTCCACCAATTCATCAGTGTAGGCCTGTGAAAGAGAGATGGGCAAGACGAATAAAACAACACATCTGACATGTTTCCAGCACTGCCAGGGAAATAAAGCAGTTACTTCCTCAAAGAAGATTTTAGGCAGCTGTTTGAGGGCCTCCTGTCTTGTTTTTGTTCTCATTGCAAATCCGCCCCCCCCCATCCCCCACCAATTCCATTCCCTCTTCTGCAGTCTAATTCATCAACTGTTGGTGGCTTGGGACTGAAATCCAGTGGCTCTGGGTCCAGACGCGTGTTTCATAGCGCACCATAAAAAGTCTCCCTCCAAACAAGCGGCTTGTGAGCCAAACCTCTGAACTCCAAGCCCCCAATGACAGGCTGAATGTCTCTTGGTGAAGCTCTGCGTTAGAGCCCTAGGAACAGTCTGTGCTGAAAGCTCAGGATGCCACGCAGCGGTGTTAACAGCGATGGGATTGTGACACTAATCCATGTTTGTATGACGCCTCCAGCCATACCCGAGGGAGAAACTTTTTGATCACACTGATCCCCAGGAAGTTTCGCTGCTGCCACATCCAGGAAGCAGGCGGACATACGCACTCTCCCCCACTTGCTGTTTTTAAAATTAGACCAGACTTTCAAGGAAGCCAGCCAAAAGGGCAAGTCTCTGATAGCACACTCTAGCGCAGTGGTTCTCAACCCGCGGCCCACGCAGCACACAGCTGTGGCCCACGAGGATTCCTCAGGGCCATAACTAGGGTGAAGCAGGAGGGCGAGGAAAGGTAGGCACAAAAATGGCTGGCATGGGATCAGGCCCAGCAGCCCTAGCAGGATACCAGTGTGCTCAGTCCCCCACCCCTCTGCAGGACTGCTAGTTCAGTGACCCTAGCTGGTGCAGGCTCCCCAGCACTAGGACACAAAAGCAGGTGGGAAGGGGGGCTGCATGGTTGAGCTATGTGCTGCCAAGACAGGAGACCTGTGGGACAGGATGTGCAGGGGCCTAAAGCCTTGAGGGGTGCTGGGAGGAGGGCCCAGGAGAGTGGGGCTGTGGGGAGAAGGTACAGCCAGTCCATGGGGGACAGACTCTAGTGGGAGAGAGGGCGTGCGCATAGTTCCTGGATGGGGAGGTTAAATACTGGGGGGCAGGCAGGGTACAGCTGCCAGGGGGCAGTCCCCGAGTGGTGGATAGGATGCAGAAGAGGACAGTCCCTGGAGGGCCATTCTATCTCTGCAGGGTAGGTGTGTATGCACCAGCCCAGTGCTGGGGGTCTGGCTGCAAGGGAGTGGGCTGTCCCAGGCTGGTTGGGCATTCTCTGTCTGGGGGAGAAGGCTGGGAAGAGGCATGGGGTAGTCCATAACTGGGAGCATGGGGTACACACTGCACCAGGCAGGGCTTCCTAGCCACACTGTCAGCAGTAGCACGGAAGGGAGGGTGATAATACACCATGCCAGGCCACGCTCACAGTTAATTTTAACCGTCAATATTTTGTCTCGTTTTGCTAATTTAAAATGCTCTTGGTTGACACTTGGCAGTGTTGAAGTGAAAGGTGCTGTATCAATTGGAATCATACTGCCGCCATATGACCAATATTGAACCTTTTTCTGGTTTTGGGCAGATGCGCAGGTAGAATATATATAGTGTGTGGACATGGCCCACACAATGTAGAGAGAACGGCTTGCATGGCCCACAATGGCAAACAGGTTGAGAACCACTGTCCTGCTGCTTTCAATCAGAGGACAGGTTCTTTACCTATAAAGCTGTCCCAGAGTTATTCATGCATGTACCAGCAAAACTGAGCTCATTAAGCAACCCTACCAAGGCAAAGAAATCAGTCATGACACACACTTTAGCATAGCACTCATGTTTCACCTGGGGACAAGCATCTCACTCAGAACACACTAGGCTGACCACTGAAAGGATGTATTTCTGACCCTTCTGCTACCAAGTTCACAAGCAAACATGGTCTTTAATAATTGAACATTGTTTTCTTCTGGTTTGCAGTCCAATAGGTAATCCTCACAGCGTGAACATAAAAGTAGTACAACGTGTGGCTCCTAAATGAAGGTATATTAAAGGATTTCTAAATAGGAAGAGCTTTTGTGGGCGCAACCCACTTGGTCATCTGAAGAAGTGGGTTTTGCCCACAAAAGCTCATGTTCTCATCTACATGTTTTAACAAAAGACAGGACTATGCAGCACTTTAAAAGACTAACAAGATGGTTTATTAGGTGATGAGCTTTCGTGGGCCAGACCCACTTCCTCAGATCAATATGTGGAAGAAAATTGGCACAACCATATATACCAAAGTCTGATTCGTCAATTTTATGTGTTCACTTTTTTTTGATTGTATCACTTTGGTAAATATGGTTGTGCCAATTTTCTTCCACATATTGATCTGAGGAAGTGGGTCTGGCCCACGAAAGCTCATCACCTAATAAACCATCTTGTTAGTCTTTAAAGTGCTGCATAGTTCTGTCTTTTATTTCAGCTAGACCAGACTAACACGGCTGCATCTCTATCACTAATCTACATGCTTTGTTAGTCTTTAAGGTGCTATTAGTCTATTTGTTGTTTTTTAAGTTATTCCTGTTACAGACTAACTGGGCTACCCCGCTGAAGCTTTTTTACATAGGAAGAGTTCTCCTACTGAAACCTTTCAGGATACTGAAGAAATCAGCCAATCACAGTTTGACTGTTTAGCATTTCAGTAACTTAAATAACGTGCGTGGTTCAAAAAACCTAATGAAGCTGTCCTCGAGGGGAGAAAGAGGTGTCCACTGAGCTAAAGAAAGATCTCGGCAATGCAAGGTTCTGAGCAAGTGGAATGTGAAACAATAATCGACCTGCCATGCTCTAAAGCAGGGCTACTCAACTTTGGAAGCCCTGGGGGCCACAATGATACAGCACATGCCAAGGGCTGCAACTTAAGTGTGGTTGCATATACATGCAAATAGCTTCTTTCATACTGACAGGCATGAATGCAAAGCACTTCCCACAATGCCCTGGGGCTTCTGGCACCTCGTCCCTGGGGGCTAGACACCCTGTACCTGTCTGTTCCAGCCAGCCCATCTGCTTGTATCTTTCAATGCTCACCCCGCCTGGGAGTCGCCTCGCTGTTGGGGAGCATGTTCCCAGTGGAGGCCACGTTCAAATGACCCCATCTGCGGGCTAAGCCCCATGTAAACCCAAACTGCACCGCGAGCCGCAAACAAACAGGCCGTGTGTTGAGTAGCCCAGCTATAAAGCATCCTGGTAAAGATCAAACACAGCTTTAAACTACCTTGTCAATAGAGGACGAATGACAAAGAGCCAAGTAAGCAAACTACCCTAATAGGCAACACACGGAAAGGATGTGCTGTTCGTTTCTTACAAACACAACACTTCAGTCATTTCATTTTGAGTCAGTACTTCCCACTTCAGTATTTCAGTGTGCAGCCTTTAACGGGCCAAAATCATTCCAACTCCTCCTGAGATCTTATTTTCATGGAGAAATGTCCTATTGTATCCCACAATAGTACGCTATGCCTACTCTAAGCAAAAGTACCTTGTCATATGTTCCCTTCTTTAGGATCTTTTCTGGCTTGTTGCAAGATTCTGGACTCTTTCTTCCCGAGGCCTGAGAAGAAAACAAATAAGGGTGGGTTGCGACCAATAATTCAGGCAGGGCAGAACTGTCATGGTTTGGCAGTAGAGAACCCAGTGGGAGGAAATCCTCTGGCTGACCTAGGCAGGGAAGTAGATGAGCTGTGGAGACAGCTGCCTTTGGCACAAGACAGAACCGTGATGCAGGGATTTAAGATTGGGGGGGAGGGGGAAGGGGAGGAGTCTCTCTCCATCACTAAGTATTGATCAGAGACTTGGAAAACACAGTCTTGATCGACTGGGGCTAAGGGCATGATCACAACCTCAGCAGCTCTGCAACGTAGAGCAACAGCTCTTATTTTTCACAGTGCTGGGTAAAGAAGTGAACTGTATAACATGAAAATGTTACGCTTACAAGTAAGAAGTCCTTCATGCTGACAACTTTGGAACCTGTAAGCAAAGGCAAACATTCACATTGCTAGCCAGCTACAGAGAATCTGGTCAGGAAACCACAGCAGTCATGGCCTACTAGCTCCTAAGACCATTCTCTAGGAGTAGCAATAAATGGTTTCCTCTGTTCATTTTTCACTTGTTTGTGATATGACTTCCATCCCTTGACAAATAAATTCACAATTCAAAAGATCTCTCTCAGAAAACTGGTTTCAGAGAGGTCCTTGTTAGTCCGTTTCAGCAAAAATAAGGTGTCTGATGAAACAAAAAACAGGACTATGTAGCTCTTTAAAGACTAACAAGATGGTTTATTAGGTGATGAGCTTTCGTGGGCCTAATAAACCATCTTGTTAGTCTTTAAAGAGCTACATAGTCCTGTTTTTTGTTTCAGCTACACCAGAGTAACATGGCTACATTTCTATAAGGTGTCTGATGGCACTTTCAAGACTAACAGATTTACATGGAGTGGTTCTCACAGTACAATAAGTAATTTCCCATTCAGGTACTCTCACCTTCTCACCACTGTTGGAGATAAGCCACATAGATTCTGATTTAATTAGCACCGTTGTTACCTTCCCATTTCTCACTCTTTCTTCAGCATCTGAGAAGTGAGTTCTAGCTCACAAAAGCTTATGCTCTCACCCTAATAAAGTTGCTAGTCTTTAAAGTGCCACCGGACTCCTTGTTTTTTCTTAGAAAACTCTTTCTGATGTTTAGAATGCGCTTTGCACTTACTAGTTGAACATCATTTCTAATGGACCTCCCAAAAAATTCCTTTCCATCTTGGCGTTGTTGTACGCACTTTTTAGTCATTGGCTAAGCTCTGTTTGTTTAATGGGGAGATGGAGAGCTTTGCTTACAATATAAAAACTAGTTTGTTATTCTTTTCTGAATTCCATGCAATTTGTTGCCCTTTTGCTGGCAAGATGCTAAGAACTGCATGCAATACATTAAGCCTCATTACTGCCGATATAAGACAGTTTAAAACTCTGCTCCTAATTTGCTCTCCATAACCATACAGTCCTCTGAGTTCCAAGGAACCATACTGTACAGAGATACTGTACAACAAATCACTTCCCACTCAAAATACTTGATCAACTACTGTTAAAATTAATTTCAGATTACTATTATTGAACTATACTAGAGTAAAAGCTATTCCTATTTTCTACAAAAGCGACGAGGAGTCTTGTGGCACCTTATAGACTCACAGATGTATTGGAGCAGAAGCTTTCGTGGGCAAAGACCCACTTCGTCAGATGCACATTTTTTCATTTC